TGAGTGGTGCCTGGAATTCAGAGAATGTCTGGAAGGTTTGAAGTTTTGTGCTTGTGTTTGGCTTTGTGTGATGAGCATGTATGCATTTTAATTTTTTTTTTTTTTTTTTTGAGTGTGGGGGGTTTGGTTAAAGTTTTCAAATATATAAAAGAAGAAAGAATGACATATCCCTGTCCCCCAGAATCTGTTGTTACCAACATTCACCACATTGACTTTATTCCGTTATTTTTAGCCAAATTCCATAGTTTATTCTAATTTCACTAGTTTTCCCCCGATGTTCTTTTTCTGTTCCAGTATCCCATCAAGGGTACTATTTCTTTTGTGTGTGTGTGTGCAGTAATCTAATCTGCATCAGGCTCCTGAAAGTACTCACTATGCCTCTTTCAGGTCTCCCATTCCAGGGCTGTGTGTGTGTGCACATGCCTGTGGTTTGGGTGAAAAGTTTATGAGCAAATTCATTTTCCATACAGTAGTTCATACATATTTTATTTCATGACATTGATTGTAATCCCCACAATGTAACAGCTCTCTTCCCACTTCCTCCTGGTGGTTATGTTTTTCCTGTGCCCTTCTTTCCTATGCATTCCTGCTGTTTGAGCTGTCCTCCTGTGCAAATGCTGCTCTTCTAATATCTCGTGGTTGATTGTTCTAAGGGGTGTGCCACCAGGTGTAATTGTTTACTTTGTTTGTCTGGAAGCCATGGGAGTGAGTTCAATTCCAGGCCCAAAGGGTGACTAGTCTCTGGGGTTCCACCAGTCTATTAGACCAGTAAGCCTGGTCTTTTTTTTTTTTTATGATTTTATGATTTTGTTCCAAATTTTCTCCCACTCCATCCAGGATCTCCTATTTTGATCCTTTTCTGAGTGGTTGGCAGTAGTAACCAGGCACCATCTAGTTCTTCTGGTCTCAGGGTCATGCAGGCTGAGGTTCCCATGGCCCACTAGTTCCTTGGACAAATTGTTTCCATGTGTCTTTGATTTTCTTCATTCTTTTTTTGCTCCAGACAAGGAGAGACCAATTATTGCATCTTAGATGGCTGCTCAAAAGCTTTTAAGATCCCAGTCATTACTAACCAAAGCAGGATGTAGAACAATGTTTTTGTGTGGTATGTTATGACAATTTAGTGTGATGTCCCCTGGGACCATGGTCCTAAGCCTGTGGGCCCAGAGACTCACTACCTCCGAATGTTTGGCTGTGGCTAAGAAGTTGTTACAACTTTGCCCCCCATTAACTCTAATACAATTAGGTTAACACAAAAGAAATTTATTCTCTTACAGTTTTGGAGGACAGAAGTCTGAAATCAAAGTGTTGGCAAGGCCTCATTTTCTCCTAACATCTAGGTGAGAATTCATTCCTTGCCTCTTCCAGCTTCTGGTGGATCCAGGGTATTCCTTGGCTTGCAGTCACACCACTCCAATCTCTGCCTCTGTGGTCATTACCTCCTTCTCTCTGTTTTTCTTCTCCTTTATCAAATCTCCCTCTGACTCACTCTTCTAAGGACACTCATTGTTGGATTTAGGGCCCACCTAGGTAATCCAGGGAAAATGCCTACACTCAAAAATCCTTAACTTAATCACATCATTTGCCATATAAGGTAATAATTACAGGTTCCTGGGATTAAGATGATGTATCTTTTTTGGGGGGCCACCATTCAACCCACTACAATACCTAAGAAAACTCACAATGATTTCTTAATGTCATTTATGTTCTTACTATTCCCAGCCCATATTCAGATTTCTCCATTGCCTCAAAAATGCCTTTTTACAGTTGATTTGTTTGAATCACAACCCCAAAAAAGATACACTCATTGCTTTATGTCTCTTGTCTCTTATAATCTAGAACATCACCATTTTTTTCATACCCTTGAATTGTTGAAAAAACTAGGTCATTCATCTTGTACATTGGCCTATATTCTGGGTTTGACTGATTGCTTCTTGTGTCATTTACTTGTTCCTTTTTATATAGCCTGTAAACTGGAAGTTAGAACCAAAAGTTTGGTAAGATTCAGATTAAACTTTCTTTTTGATAAAAAATACACTGTACTTCATAAATATTGATGTTTAATTCAAATTGCATCACATCAGAAGACACAAAATGTGTATGTAGATGGCCCATGTTTAGTGATCTAAGATTGATTGGTACACACAGGTGATGGCAGACCTCCTTCAAGTGTAAAATTCTCCACAATTCTCTAGTGGTTTTAACATACATCTCTGTTGCCTGAATCAATTACTGAGCATCATTTCTCTCTCCAAGTGGTTTTCATCAGGTTAGTTTCATCTTTTGATTGCCTCCTTTATTTCTGTAGCCAATAGCTTAGAATAGATCCTTTCACCCTCCAGCTCTCTTTAGGTCTCCAAATCCATTAGGTCCAGAGGCATCCGGGAATAAGGTGACACGATCTGTCTGCCCCGGGAAGATAATGAGATAATGAATGAGGCAGTATTTCTTAAAAGTTTATGGCTTAAAGCCCAGGAAGCAGGTGGTTGTAGCTGTGCCTTGTTTGGTGGGTTGGGTTAGGGAAAGGTGGGTCAGAGGGAGGCAGACCCAATCAGGCGAGCTCCTTTTTTCTGGGGTCAAACCCAAAGGCTTTTACTGAAAAAGTACTACTCGGAAAATTCTTTAATAAAGCCTGGAATTTTTAGTGCCTAAGGCACTTGACTGCTAACCAGAAGGCTGGCGGTTCAAACCCACCAGCCACTTCTCGAAAGGAAGGTTGGGCAATCCTACTTCCGTAGTGATACTGCCTCGGAAACCCAAGGAGGGGTCGCTATGAGAGGGGGCCCACTCCACGGCAAATAACAACAACAACAGGAAGGAAGGAAGGCAGGGCTAAAGAAGGATTCCATAGGGGTCAGGTGGAGTTAAGCTAAGGCGCTCTGGTGGTGGAGTGGTTAAGGCATTTTGCAGCTAACCAGAAGATAAGTGGTTTGAACCCACCAGCTACTCTGCGGAAGAAAGATTGGGCGGTCTGCTTCCGTAAAGATTTACAAATGAAGGTAGAAAGGTTGAACTCTGAAGTCCCAGAATCTAGCCTTTCTCGGGTTTAACCTCGGCACTACATCTCCCAGAATTCCACTCGCGAGGTCCCACCCGCATTGAAGCGACTGAGCGTGCGCGAGGCGCCCGGCCTCACAACCCCCAAGATTCCGCGCGCCAGCCTTCCGCCTGCGGCTGGTTGCCCCTTCCCGGCCCTCGGTCCGTCCTCTAGGGGCGCGCGCAGTGCGTGGCAGCCGGCAGCAGCTAAGAGCGCGGGTCGCGTGGTGGTGCGTGGTTGCTAGGGGCACCTGAGGCCGCCCGCTCGCCGGCTCAGCAGGCCGAGGGAGGGAGCAGCGCGGAGCCGGCGCCGAGCCGTGGCGAAGCTGGGTCCGCTAGGTGAGTGCTGCTGCTGAACGGGGGTAACTGGCCAGACTGTCCCGCCCCTCTGCGCCAGGTTCTTTCGCGCCGGACCCCAGCCCTCGGACCCTCCCGCCCCAGCCCCACTTCCTGCTCGCTACTCATCCGTCCCTCGGGAGGCGAGGGGCCGTGGCCTTCTACCCGGCCCGGACTTTGCGCCTCTTCAGAACCGTTCTTCCACTCCTCCATGCCCGCGAACTTAGTCTGCCCTGCCTCTGAGTGGCCGAACCTCGAAGCATCCCCTCACCCTGGGCCGCGGTGCCTCATTTTTCCCGCCGCTCTGCGGTTTGAATTATTTTCACTTGGGGGTGAGTCCAAACTTCTCTCAGGCTTCAGGGTTGAATTTAAAACGTGGATACCTACTTTTTCTCTTCCCCACCCTGCCCCTATAGAGAAATAATTGCCTAAATTGTGGAGATTCCAACAGGATCTAAGATGCTATGCAATTTAACACTCTTTATGTATCCTTTGTCATTCACTCAACAGTTTTTAATAAACACCGACAGATATTTAATGAGCCAGTCACTATGGAAAGCCCTGGGAAGATACCAGTGGTGAACAAGGCAGACGTGTTTTCACAGAGCTCAGTGTAGGGGAGGTTTCAGTCAAGTTAACAAGCACTTGGCGTACTGTGCGGTGTGCGCTCTGATAGAACAGAAGGAAGGTACTTGACTTGGAAAACTACATTACCCTGTGCTCAGGTCTTCACCTTTGGATTCTGGATCGAGGAAATGTTTTAATGCTTCCATCATCATGGAGTCATCTCTGCTCTCCGAGATAATTCTTGTCTCATCTTTAGCGTCAGCACCTGTTGATTTAGCCAAATCCCGGCATTTTGATGGGGAGCCAGCAGCCAAGGTCGCTTTGGCATCGTGTTCCATCCAGTCCTTTCTCACTTCTTGCCATAAATACTGAGACACTGGTTATGTAAAAACTATCCCTTTGGTGCCCATAAAGTTATCAGCTGCTTATTTAGCTAAGGAGCCTTGGAAACGTATGAAATGTTTTCTGGGAGTAAAGAGGTACATTCCGATAGAAAGTAGCATTAGGAAAGATACACCAAGGCCTGAAATAAGAATTGCAAACTGTTTGACAGTCTTGAGCTGGGGTTGGAGAGAGCCATCCAGTGACAAAGAGAGAAGTAGAGGCTAGATAAAAATGGCTCTGGAAGTTTTGGTAAGGAGTTAGAGTAGTGGTTTTCAAGTTGGGTATTCAGGGCTCCCATATAGCTTTAAAAGAAACAATGGTATAGCCCTGGTGGCACAGTGGTTAAGTACTCGGTTCCTAACCCAAAGATCAGTGGTTTGAACCTACCAGCAGCTCTGCTGGGGAAAGATGGAGACAGTCTGCTTCAGTAAAGATTTACAGCCTTGGAAACCCTATGAAGCAGTTCTCCTCTTTCTTATAGGGTTGGTGGTGCAGCTGGTTTAGTTTTTTGGTTTTCAACTTGCAAATGAACTTTTTTTCTAACACTGCTCTTAAAAAAGAAAAAGAGGCAGGTTGGATACCCTCAGGCTTTCCTGGCCTTACTGTGGTGTATCAACCTGAGTGTAAAAACCAATTCAGGTTCCCAAACATGGGATCATTTGAAAATACTGGTTTCAAGGAGGCCTTCATTAGTGATTAAGTTAATGCCCCTACCCAGAAAACTCCTGTCACAGCGACCCTATGGGACAGAGTAGAACTGACCCATAGGGTTTCCAAGGCTGTAGTCTTTTCGCAAGCAGATTGCCACATCTTGCTCCTGTTGGTTGGTTTGAACTGCCGACCTTTTGGTTAACAGCCAAATTCCTTAGCCACTGCACCACTAGAGCTCCTAAACTGGATAAAACTTGCATAAAAAATTGGAGAGATTTTTTTAGTTAGGTGTGTGTTGTTCAGTAAGATAATTAAAGCCTATTTCGTCAAATCAAGTCATGAAATGTTTAATTACAGGTAACCTTATTTCTTTTTATAAAATGTTTAATATTTTTTGTCTTCTTTTAACAACACAATAGAAAACTTGTGTTGAAATATTTTAGTTGTCATCTTTAAAATGCACAAAGAATATATGGTTTTAAAAATTCTTTTAGGGTACATGAATTAAGTGGTTTAAAGACTGTGTTGCAGGAGAACCACAGAAAGGTAATTAGCAGGAAAGTAACATCAGATTTGGCTTTGAGAGATCACTTTAGTATAATTGTGCAAATTTAATAGGAAGGATTTTAGATTGGTGGTAGGGAGCCAATAAGAAAACTGTTACAGTGGTCCAAACTAGAGATGATGATTGTGGTGATGATGAGATGATTAGGATATCCACAGGGGCTCCTTAATGATAAAACCAAAACCAAACACACTCCCATCCAGTCGATTCTGACTCATAGCAACCCTACAGGACAAAGTCAAACTGCCCCATAAGGTTTCCAAGGCTGTAAATCTTTACAGAAGTGGACTGCCTCATCTTTCTTCCATGGAATAGCTGGTGGTTTATGGTGGTTGCGGTGGGGATTGGAGGGTTTAGAGAGATGTTAAAGAGTAAGATCGACAAAACCTGGTGGCAAAGTAGAGCGAGCGGTAGGGGGAGTGAGTCAAGGAGCAGTGTTGAATGATCCCAGATTTCTGACTTGAGTGACCAGGTGGGTGTTGATGCAGGAGGAGAGGGACTACCGGGAGGAGGGGCAACTTTAAAGGGAAAGACAAAGGAGTTAGGTTTTGAATATGCTGAGTTGAGGTCCCAGCAGCACCTCTGTGGAAAGACCTAGAAGGTTGTTTTGTCAGTCTTGAGTCACCACAGAGGTCTGGGTGATGAAAGCAAGTCCCAGTATATAGGAGGTGGTTGAAGTCACAGGATGGATGAGGTTGCTCTGGGATAGTGTGGTAATAATTGCAGCTGCCGTTTATTGAGCACTTACTATGTGCCAGGCAAAGTAAGAAGACTGAGCCCTGAGGAACACCAGTATTGAAGGGATGGGCAGAAGAAAAGGTGTGGAAGAAGTGGGCTGAGAATGCCTGATGTCACGTAAAACTTAATATGTGAATGAAAAGTTGTCACTGCTGAGAAACTATATCTAGATGAAGACTTAACTTCAAGCTGTGTTGGATACTCATGACCAGAAGTTGAGTTAGTTTAGCTTCCCTACTGGAGTCTTCTATGGCATTGGGAGTGTCTGAGCCTGGCTACCTGGAATTTAGTGTGGGATCGGGTGCTTTTGTCTGTCAGTGAAATGCAAAAAAAAAAAAAAAAATTGACTGCAGTTAAGTAGATTCCAACTCAGAGCCAACCCCCTTTGGGTATCCAAGGTGGTAAATTTTTACAGAAGTAGGTTACCCAGTCTTCCTTCTGTGGAGTGGCTGGTGAGTTTGAACCACCACCCTTTTGGTTAGCAATCAGATGCATTAGGCACTACACCACTAGAGACAGGGTTTTTCTTCAATGCCCTGGGGTTTTCACCCTCTCTTTTTGCAGAATTAGGAAGTCAGATCTGGCTTTTTGGAACAAATATTGATAGTGCTAATATCTCTTAGACCTTGGAATACAAAGAATCTTGTCATTAAGGAGGGAGCTCTGGTGGCTCTGTGGTTAAAGCATTGGGCTGCCAATCAGAAGGTCATTGGGTTTGAATCTACCAGCCACTCCATGGGAGAACGATGAGGCAGTCTGCTTCTGTGAAGATTTATAGCCTTGGAAACCCTATGAGGCAGTTTGACTTTGCCTTGTAGGGTTGCTGAGTCAGAATTGACTCAATAGCAGTGTGTTTGGTTTTGTCATTAAGGAGCCCCTGTGGATATCCTAAGTAGCTCTGGTGTCATAGTGGGTAAGGCATTTGGCTGCTAACCAGAAGGTCATTGGTTCAAATGCACCAGCTGCTGCACAGAAGGAAGATGAGGCAATCTACTTCTGTAAAGTGCATATACTTCAAAAGCTTTTTGGAATCTTCAATAAATTTTTTGTTTTTTCCTTTAAATTTTATTTGTTGAGAGTATACATAGTTTTTAATAAGTTGGGTTTTTGTGTGGGGGTGGGATATGTTGTGGTGGTTGTTATGTGCTGTTGAGTTGGACCTGACTCATAGCGACCCCTCCTTGGGTTTCTGAGGCAGTATCACTATGGAAGTAGATTGCTCAACCTTCTTTCCAAGGAGTGGCTCGTGGGTTTGAACCTCCAGCCTTCTATATATATGTATATATCACAATATTTGCCATGTTAGAAATTGAATTTTTCATTTAGAAATAATAAACTTATTACAAGTTAACATAGGTAGCATTTTAAAAATGAAAAATGTTTAAAAAATTAGAAGTATGGCCTTTTTATTTTATGTTATTTTATTGTGATTTGGGTGAAAGTTTATAAAGCAATTTTCATTTTCCATACAGCAGTTCATGCACACTTGTTCTCATGATATTGACTACAATTTTTCCACAAGGTAGCAGCTCTCTCCCTGCTTCCTCCCCATAGTTAGCTCTTCCCTGTATCATTCCCTCTCATGTACTCCTGCCCCCCCAGCAGTCTCCCTGTGCATACTCTGGCTCCTCTTCTGTTCTCTCATGATTGATCTCTCCAAGGAGTGTATCTACCTGATGTAAATGTTCACCCCATATGCTGGTCTTTTATTTGTCTGGAAGCCACAGGAATGAGTTCAACTGTAGACCTGCAGGGCAGCTAGGGGCAATAGTCTCGGGTTTCACTAGGCTCTATCAGACCAGCAAACCTGTTTTTTTTTTTTTTAATAATTTTGAGTTTTGTTCCATATTGTTCTCCCATTCTATCCAGGATCTCTACACAGATCCCCCTCTAAGTGATTGAGATTGGTAGCCAGGCACCATCCAGTTCTTCTGGTCTCATGGTCATATAGGCTGAGGATTTCATGGTATACCAGTCCCTGGACTAATTGTTTCCATGCATCTTTGGTTTTCTTCATTCTTCTTTGCTCTGGACGAGAAGAGACCCATTGTT